TGGGCACACAGAGGATCAGGCCCAGGGCAGTTAACGCCAGGCTTTGGCTCTGTTGTTCTGGGGTTGGGCCTAAGCAAGTGAGAACAGGTGGCTGGTCACTCACTGGCCCCTCACCCCCGAGACCACTGCAGCCCTGGAGGGTGTGGGTGAGGGACCAGGCACAGAGCTGTGGGCCGCAGGGCTGGTGGGCTGAGGGAGGCCCTCCTGGGGTGCTGGGACCAGCCCGCTCCAGAGCCCTTGTCTCCTCATGTCCCAGTGGGCCTTGGCTCCACACCCAGCACCACCTCCTTGGCTGCGGTGGTCCCTTCGCCGAGGGCCAGTTTGAGGATACACTGCCAAAGGTGGACAGATGGTGCGCAAGGTGGTCAGCGCTAGGGTGGGGTGGCCGCGGCCTTGCCCACCTCTGGCCCACGCCTCCAGCTCCATCCTCCCAGAGCATCTCTGCCGACACTCCTGGCCTGTGGCTCCGACACATGCTCTTGCGCAGGAGCAGCTGACGCTCTGCTCGGCCCCACGTTGTGCTGTCTGTTTTGGGGTTGGTTTCCGGGCTGCTTGAGGCAGTGGCCCACGCTCCTGCCTCCAGTGGGGGTCATGCCGGGTGCGCCAGCACTTTCCGCAAATGCGTGTGCTTCCAGGGGGAGCCATCTGAGGGGGCCCTGGTGGCCTGGAAGAATCCCAAGATAGGACATGGTGTGGATGCTAGGAGCCCCTGCGTCCAGGGGCCAGTGACCCGTGAGCAGCAGCACCCAGGGAGCAGGGACCTCTGAGCTCTCTGCAGGGAATGCCATTTGCTGGTCTGCTCTGGCAGCCTGCAGCCCCTGCTTTCCCCGTCTCCGGGGAAAGTGAGGAGCAAGCCCTCGGGCGTTTCCCATCTCTGCTACACCCTCCTGAGGACAAGGCCGGGGCAGCTCGCTGGTTGCACGCTGACCCCGAGGCCTCAGGACCCTGACCCTGAGTCGGGGCCCAGGGCCCTGCTGGTCTGAGTGGGCCCTGCAGCTTGGGGCCGGGCCCTCCCCTGGGAAGTCCTGTGGGTAGGAGCTGTCCAGCGCGGTAGTGCTGAAGCCTGCAGCTTCTGCTCCCCGTGGGGGAGGTGCGGTTAGCAGCTTGTCCTTAAACCTCCCCTGCAGGGAGCAGACCTGTTGGCGGGGAGGGGTCTGGGGTCTTTGGTGAGTTCCCACACCTGTCTCCCACGTGTGGGACTCTGGTTCCGTGCGGAGGACGGGGAGCAGGTGTCTGGGTGCTAAGTGTAATCGGCGGAGGCCCAAGTCCCCCGGGCCCAGCTGCTGTGCTGCTGGGGGAAGCCCTGGTCCCTAGTCCCCTCCTTGGGCAGAAGGAGCTGGTAGCCAGTTCTCCTGGGGCTGCCTTGGGACAACCTGTGGAGCTCCCTACACACATCGGGTGGGTCCTCTGGGTCTCAAAGTCTGTACCTGTGCCCCCTTCCCAGGCCTGGGGCACTGGAGGGATTGGGCCTAGATTCAGAAAGCCAGGCCCCCAGCCCCAACCCCAACTAAACTAACCCACCCAAACCACCTTCCTGGGCTAGCTCGGTGGGGAGGCTGGAGACAGGAGAGGTGGGGAGGGACCGAGGCCGCGGAGGCGGGAGGGAGTGTTGCCTGTGTGTGGGGCAGGGGTGGTGGTGCCTGGGCTGGGCAGTGGGAAGGGTTAGGTGCTGGCTCATCTCTAGAGGCGAGAGCTCGTCTCAGATTGGAGGTTTGCTGACGCTAAACCCCAAATCCCAGGGGATTTATAACTAATCATAAAGTGGCACAGATGGAACATTCTCCAACAGATCCACAGGGCGGACGAGGGCAGCAGTGGACAGACGGGGGCCATGTCGGCTGGGGCGTGGTGGGGGCGCTGCAGCTCCTCCGGGTGATGCCCAGTGGCCCCGGGTCTGTGGGCTGGGCCTCCACGTTCCCTTCCAGCGTTGCTGCTGGCCCTGGCAGAGGCCTTTGTTGTCCTCGGCACTCCCAGAGAGCTTGGCTGCTGACCTCTGTGCCGCCCCAAATCTGTGCCCCTCCCTCCTGGGTCCTTCCACCTGAGGGGTACTCAGACCTCTGTTCCACAGCCCCTCTTTGGGGTCAGTTGGTCATGGGGCCTCCGACCTCAGGGGCCCTGCTTCATGCTGCACCCTTGCAGCACACAGCCTCCTCTGGGCACCTGTGCCCTGCCCTGGGGTCTGCAGGAGGGGATGTGGGAACCACCTCTCTGTGAGGATCCAGACTGATGAGGCAGGGAAGTTGAACTGAAGGCCATGTCTGGGTGAGGGCCTTCGGGGGACAAGTCTGGGCTGGTCAGTGCTGTGGGCCTCCAGAGATGCTCAGGACCTGGTGGGGGCTGGGGGGCCAGGGCCCCTTCTGTCCAGGGGGCTTTGGCATCCTGAGTCACGCCAGATGAGTGGCCCTGGTGACAGTCCCACTCTGCCAGGGGCATTCAGGGGGTCCCGTACTGACTGAGGCCTGGTTTGCCGAAGCTTCCTCGGTGCTGCTGGGGGAGGCGCTGCTCTCCTGGCTGGTGGACACTGGGAGGCACCTCTGGGAAGTGGGCCGGCATCTGTGCTGGGACAGAGAGACCCAGTGGGCAGCCAGGGTCTGGGGGAGGCTGGCCCCTGGGCCTGTCCATGCCAATCCAGGCTGGGTCTGAGCTTCCAGCTGCCCACCCTGTGCCTGCTGCTGGAGCTCCTCACCAGGCCTTGGGGAGGAAAGAGGCCCCGTGGGAGCCGTCTGTCCCTGCCTGCAGCCCTGCAGCAGGTCTGTCTGCTGAGGGACACCTTCAGCACGTGTGTGTCCTCCCTTCACGAGCTCCAAGAGCAGCTGGTGGCCGTGGCACTGTCCCCATCTAGGCACTGTCATGGGGGCTCTGTGCTTCCTTGCTGGGCCTTGGGAGTTCACCACTTGGGTGAGTCCTGCCGAACCTGCTGGGGGGCTGCAGGCCAGAGCCCACCCCGTGGGCTGCCTCTTCTCCTGGAAGCCGAGTGGCCTGTACCCTAGGGGAGCGGTCAGCAGGCCCCAGGAACAGCAAGGGCCTGTGGAGGTCTGTCAGCTCCTGGCAGCCGGGGTACTTTCTGAGTTGTTGGGGGAGGTGCCTGTGCCCCTCCTCTTTCCGTTTGGGGACCCAGGGCAGGGGGCAGGCCCGACAGCAGGGTCAACAGAGCAAGAGCCTGGGGACCCCACGCTGGCAGGACAACTGGGGGTCATCCGGTCTGTGTGGTCTCCTGGAGGCCCTGGGCCCGGGACTTCATAAACCAGGTCTGTGCCCCGCGGGCCAGCGCCGAGGCCGACCTTGTGCTCGCAGATGGGAAGGAGGCCTGCGCCTCGGGAGCACCTTGCCTGCCGTCCCCAGGAGGGGAGGCAGGCCCCTGCCTGGGCTGAGGGTCGGGGCAGCGGCCCAGGGGATGCCCAGCCAGGCTAGCACGTCAGGGCGGGGCTGCTGTTCTGAGACCTCACCATCGGACGACGAGTCCCACCGTCCAGGCCTTCCAGCTGTTCCCCAGGTGCCAGCCCTGAGAGGGGAAGAGGTGGCGGAGGTGGACCTGCTGCCTGGGCTCCGTGATCATGGACAGCTCCGGGCAGGCGGGCCTCCTGGAGACAGTGGGAGGAGCCCAGGGGCTGAGGTGATGGCGGACAGACCGGGGCGATGGGTGCGGGCAGGCAGGCCGCTGCCTCTCTCCTTCCTCCCTGTCCTTCGGAGAAGCTGCCGCTGACCGCTAAGCAGGTTCTATTATTACCCTGCGCTGGAGATTACGTGCACGCCGGTGCCCTTCTGCAGACGGGCAGCCTCTCCAGGCACCTGACCCCAGCTGGGCCGGGGCTCGGGGCCCCAGGCCTGTTTCCCACTTCCTGCAGTTACAGGTTCCCGCAGGCAGCGTATGCACCTGTTCGTCTGTCTGTCTGTCTGTCTGTCTGAGGGCCTGGGGCAGGAGCTTGCTTCTCTGGGGCTTGATGCCCTGCCTGAGCCCCCGGGGTCAGTTGGGGGCAGCCCGCACATGGCCTGCTGGGCCAGCACCTTGGTGTCCATCTCTTGTCCAGCACTGGCTGGGCCCTTGGGTAGCCCCAGCAGCCTCCTCAGCCCCCGGCTCCCCCAGATTAGGCACCCGCCACATTCAGCTCTCAAAGCTCCACAGTCGGGGCACGCCGTGGGACGGAGGAGGAAGTGGGCCCCAGGGCTCACCGGCAGCCAGCAGCCAGCACCCAGCAGGTTCCAGGCACTGTGCTGCCAGCCCAGCCCCTTCCTGCAGAGCCGTGCTGTGCTGCCGGGGACCCCTGACCCAGGCGAGCTGGAGAGCTGGTCTCCTGGGTCGAGTCTAGGATGAGGCCCAGCTCCTAACCCCACGAGCGGAGTGGGACATGGGCTTCTTGTCTCCGAGAAGGATGGGACACGCGGCCATCCCAGTGGTTGGGGACCCAAGTCAGCAGGTAGTTTTTAAAATGTGGGTTGGTTTTTTTTATGCTAAATCCAGACTTCACAGTGCGGAGTAGTCCTGTGCTGTCCCCCCCCCAACATGGGGACAGGAGGTCTTGGTCATAGCTCAGAGGGGGCAGCCGTCCCTCCGCCCTGCCCTCCTGTTCCTTCCTGCCCCGCCCACAGGGCCGCAGGAGCCCACGAGGCCTCCCAGGCCGACCCTGGCAGTCTTCCCAGGTGTGCTGGGCTGGGGGTGGCTGGTGGCCACAGGTGGGTGGGCTCTGCCCTCCTCTGCTTGACCACAGGCTTGCCAGCAGATGAGGGGCCCCCCCTGCACAAGGCTTTGCTGTGTCCTTTGCTGTGTCTTGTGTCAGGGGCGGGGTGCAGCCAGGAAGCAGGCCCGGATGAGGGGCGTCCAGCCACTGGCATCTGGTCATCCGTAGCTCCTGCCCCACGGGGTGCAGGCTGAGGGGAGGCCTAGGGCTTCCGGGCCTGGCTTCGTGTGTGAGGGTCCTCCGTGCCTGGCAGGTGTGTGGAGTCACACAAGGCTGCGTCTGCCAGCAGAGAGGCTGTGCTTGTGTGTGCGTGTGTGCGTGTGCATGGTGACAGGTGGAGATCCCTCGGGCCTCCCAGGGCGCCCTGGCCTCATCACCGAGGCAACCTCATCACCACCCCTGGGGCCTGGCGGTGGGTTGAGCAGAAAGGGGGAAAGGTGGGCAGGTCCAGTGCTTGCTGCTGAAGCCCCCTGGGGCCTGGCCTTGAGGCTCCCTACCTCTGCTGGGGGCCCCTCCTCTTCCCCCACTAGGCACGGGGTCGACTCTGAGTCGCTTCTGCTGGCCACCACCGCTCTGTCCCTCCACTGCCTGCCCCACCCCACACCCCCACCCATCCCTGGGGGCTGGACAGCTGCTGGCTGGGACACTGCCGCCCGGGGCACTGTTGCCTGCGGTGCCTCTGGTCACACCGCTGTATCCACACTGCAGGTGTGACCCTCGTCCTCCTGGATTCCAGCCTCCTTGGACCCGGGGCTCCTTGTGTGCGGGACCCCACACCCTTCCCTTGCTCTGCTGTGGTACCCCCACCCACACCCTCTGCCGCCTGTTCCCCACCAGCCGCTGACCCCGCCCCTTCCTGGGTCCCTCAGACCAGCCACGCTCCTTCCTGCGGGCGTTTGGCTGGCGACCCCAGCACCAGCCCCAAGTCTTAAGGCTCCTGAAACTAGGTCGTCAGCTTAAAAAAAATACAATTTACCAGATTGAATTACTGAAGGCTTACTGAATTCAATCAGAATGTTCCATTGGGCTAATTTTACAGTATTGAACTGATAAAACAGTTAATAAAAACCTAATGTCACTTGCCACCACTGGAACTGGAGCCGTGACGCCTGCTCGCCCACCTCTGGGAAGGTCCGCTCCTGCGGAAGGACTTCCCAGCGAGAGTGGGCGGCGGCTCCGGGCAGGGAGGGCGGAAAGGGGGCCCAGCCAGCTGTTTGCTGTCGCTGCACCCAGCGCAACCCAGGTTGACGGTTTCATAGCACTTGTGGCTCCCGGACGAGGCTGCGGGTCCCCTCGGGGCGCTGGCCTCTCCCTCCGCCTTCTCTCATGGGGGGCCCTGTGGCTCTTAGTTCAGGCCTCCCAGTGCCTGGGGCTCCTGCCTTTAGGAAGTGGTGCTGAAGGAACAGTAGGTGGGTGCCCCTTGGGGAAGCTTGCTGGGCAGTGGGCTTTCTGTGGCATGGCCGAGGGAGGCCCCGGTGGGCCCCACTGTGTCTGGGAGCCCACCCTGGAGGTCGGAACAGTGGTGCCCATGGTTTGGACGTCAGCCAGGGGACCTTGGCTGAGGGAGGAGTGCCCACCTTTCTGCCCCCACTGCAGGGTGGGCAGGCTTGTGTGGGGGCTCCCGGAGGGGTAGGAGGAAGGGGTGGGGGGAGTGGGAGGCGTGCCCTGTTGCAGTTGCCATGACAGCCATGCTGGGGCTGGGTGCATTGATTCTGGGGACCCTGCACCCCACCAGTGTCCTGCTGGCTGCCCAGGAAGGAAGCCACAGCCTCCCCGCCCTCTCCCTCCAGCCTCAGTGTGGGGGATCTGCAGTGGCCCTCAGTGAGCGGCTGGGGCCTCCAATGCTTCTGTCCTTGCAGCCCTGCCCATGGCCCACACCCACCTTGACCCCACTCATCCACAGCCCTCAGTGAGTCTCACATTGTGGTGGGATGGAGTCCAGTGTCCTGGACACAGCCTGGTGGAAGGGTACCAGGGCAGCAGCCCTTGGAAAGGGCTGGGGTGTACGCTGAGCTGTCCTCGCCCTGGGATGTGGGGCCACTGGGCAGAGCGGCAGGACAGAGGGAGGGCCGGTGCCCTCTTGCCCCTGCGGCCCCCGCCACTCTGCCTTGAGCGCACCCTGGCTCCCCCGCTCCCAGGCCCTGCGCCTGAACCGCTGTGGCCCCGCTGGGAACTCACACGTCCCAGGCCTGTACGAGGCCCCGCCCCCTCGGGCCTGGCTGGCCTCGTGGGGCTCCCGTCTGGCTGTGTTGGGCATTTGTGTTTCCTTGAGAATTGCCGGTCTCATCACGGACTTTGGTGGCTTTCTAGAGGAGCTGGTCGGCTGTCACTCACGGGGACCAGGTCCACCGGGCTTGTCCTTCCGTCCAGGGAGTGGGGTGCTCTGAGTCCCTTCCAGCGGAGGTACCGCCAGGCGATTCCGTTGACGGGGACCCCCAGGGAAGGAGGAGGGCGGGGTGATGGGCGAGGACGCCTGGCTGGGGGAAGTGGGCGCGCCCCGATTGCGATGCCCAGGCAGAAGCTCTGAGGTCCCTTCGGTCTCTGGGCATCGCGTACACCCGTGGAGCAGGTGCAAGGGGAGGCTGCCAGGGCTCGGAAAATGTGAGGAGAAAGAAAACCCTGGGCTTGGCCCCTGCCCTGGGCGGTGTGCGGTCGCCTGCTCTGCTGCTCAGATGCCTCTGGGCAGGTCACTGGACCTCTCGGAGCCTGGAGCCCTTGTTGTGAGGGGCAGTCATGGTGTCTGCCTGGCAGAGGTATGAGAGCTGCATGTGGGGGAGTGTCGTGTTTTAACGGAGCGCTGACGACGTGGTGGCTGCAGCCATGCGCCTTCCTGTCGCCGTGACAGCCGTGACTGCTGGGCGTCCTCAGCTGGCCCCGGCCAGTGGAGTGTGTTGGTCGCGTTTATTCTCGGTGGTCCCCCAGGTCTATATGGAGTTGACTGAGGCAGCACGTGTAGGGGAGCTGCCTGCCAGGCACTGCCCCCTGGGTAGCCAGGATCCCTGGGGCCATGCCTGCCTCACGGTGGGCCTGGGGTGGGCAGGTTGCCTCCTGGATGTGCTTTTTGGGTTGGGCTGGCAGGCCAGGGCCTCCTTGGTGGGGACACAGCAGGGGAGGTGGATCAGGGACCAGACAGGTCCCTGGCCGTTCCCCAGTGCAGGACGGGGCTGGCACCGTGGTGGAGGCCAGAGGGGGTCTCTGGGGGCTGGAGTCGGGGTGCTTTGCCTGGCCTTTTGTGCAGGAGGCAGGTGTGAGCTGGGCTGAGGCTGGGCCCGCTGCTGGGGGCAGAGGGGCTCAAAAGCCAGTTGGGGCTGCAGCCAGAGGCGTGCTCTGATCCCAGGGCCCAGCTGAAGAGAGCGGGAAGGAAGGGGGTGGGGAGAGCGCTGTGCCCCTGCCTTTCAGCTCCTGTCGTCATGGCAACAGATGGTGGTTTGGCAGGAGAGAGGGGGGAGGGCTTTGTATGCGGAGGCTCAGGGTTTGGAGACCAGCTGGGATCCTTCAGGAATGGGGTGGGGGCTCTGGCCTCCAGGCTGAGCTTGCCCCTCCCCTGGGCCCCAGAGCAGCCCCAGGTCCACGGGCAGGTTTTAGATGCAAGCTCGAGTCTGAGCCCCCTTTCTGAGTGTCAGCCCCGACCGGCTCACAGTGGCTGGCCCGCCCTGCCTCTCTTTTCCTCCTCTCTCTTCCCACCCCTGGCCCGAAGGACAGGTTGGAAAGAGGCCAGTGGCCCACCTGGACACCCCACCAGCCCAGGTCAGCGGGCACAGGGGCAAGTGGCAAGGATAGGGCCGCAGCTGGGCAGTGGGCCTGGCTCTGCCCCCCGCCCTGGGGTTGGGGAGGAAGCCTGGGTGGAGCATAGCAGCCTCACCTCTGTACGGCCGCTGACCACAGAGGTGCCCACCACGGGGCACCGTGCCAGGATGGTCCTGTCCCAGCCAGCAGCCCCCCTGCCCTCTGCTACCGGGGAGGGCCTGGGCTTTCCAGGGTGATCCCTTGAGCCTGCCCCTCACCCCTCACCCCTCACCCCGGCTCCCTCTCTCCCATTGCACCTACCCCCTTCTCTTCCAGACCAGGCTGGTGTTCCCTGCAGGCAGCTTCCCAGCCTGCGGGCTCAGTCCAGGCTCTGCCCTGCTCGCTCCCCATGAGTGTGAGCCCACATGCCTGTGCTAGTGTGAGTCTGTGTGTGTGCAGGAATGTAAGAGGGTTCTCCTGTCCTCACCCCCGTGGGGATGGCCCTGTGCACGTCCGTCAGCACCAGGTGAGCCGCGCTGTGGGCTCCCAGGTGGGGGTGTGGGCACCTGAGATGAGTCTTGGGGCCTGGTGCCGCCCACCATGTGGGTGAGGAGGTTTTGAGATACCTACTGAGGCTTGGGAACCGCAGCCCGGGCTGCTGCAAGGACAGACTCATCAACCCAGTCTGGCCTCAAGGCCCCACATTTGCATATCCCACCCTGCCCCCAACAAGCACACAACACAGCTCAGAGTGGGATGGGGGGCATGGGCAGGAGCCGCCTCTACCCCAGTCCCGGAGACGGGACCCTCCTGCTGCCCCACCCACAGGGCACCTACTGCTTTTGCTGAATACGGGAGGGAGTGTTGGGAGTGTCCGTGGGCCAGCTTGTGGCCACGCCCGGGGGAGCCTTCCCCACTGGCCTCACTGGGAAGGTTGGCAGCATGGTGCTGGGACTGGTTTCTTGGAGGCGTCTTGGCTCCCAGGGCTCAGGCCTATGCCAGGGTCTCAGGCTAGAGCGGGCGGGCACCCCGGGCCTGCCCTGGAGTCGCTGTGCTGGCCCCAGTGCCCTGTGAGCACCTCTGGGAACCCTGGTCTATCACCGGCACCCTGGCCGTGCCTTCCTGCAGCCTTCAGCTCATTGCCTCTACAGAGCTTCCCCTGGTAAATGCCCACCACCCATTCTCATGAGCCCGGGGACCCCACCTCCTCCTCCCTCCCCTGCAGTTCCTTGCCCCAGGCCCAACCCCCTGGGATCCTTTCTCAGGAGCAGATTCCCTGTCAGGGGCCTTGAGTGGGTGCTGGGGGAAGACTGACCCACCTTGGGAGGCCTGGGGCTCCTGCAGGGCCAGGGCAGCAGGAGGCCTGGGGCCTGGTAGGAGGTCCCCTCACAGGAGGGTCCCTGAGGCCCAGACTTCAGGCTCTGGTTGCGGGATGTCATGTGTGTGCATGTAGGCGAGTCTTTCTGTGAAGGTGGGCTCTCCAGGCCCCTCCCAGAGTTATCCAGAAGCAGAGGGTGGGGTGGAGGTGGGCAGAGCAGAGCCGGGGCCAGGGGCAGAGTAGCTGGAGTATGGGGCGAGCTGGGCCCCTGCCCATGCGCCTAGGACCCCTGCAGTGGCCTCCTCCAGGGCACCTTCCCAGGCAGGGGGCCTCAGAGTAGACACACGGGACCTGTCCCCCAGGGTAGAGAGTGAGCCAGGGAAGCCGGGGACCTCGGGCTGCTGGCTCCTTCCTGTCTGCCCTGTGCCCCGTGGTGGGGGCACTGTGTTGGTCTCTGCTTCTGGGATCCCGTCCTGGGCAACGGGGCCTTTAGAGGCCGGCCTCAGCACGCCTGCAGCCAGGGCTGGGGGTGGTTGTCCCGTCCCCTGGTGGGGTAGGCTTGGCTGGGGTGGGGTGGGCGTGCACCCCAGGCACTGCCCCCCTGCAGGCCTCTGGGGGAGGTGGGGAAGTGGGAAGGACTCATGGGTCAGCCCAGGCCCTGGGGGTGGGCACAGCTCACCTGCCCTTTTCCCAGAGGTCATTCCCAGAGCCTGGCCAGCATCTGCTGTGTTCCCACCCTCCCCCCGGGGAGGTGGTTGGTGGCAAAGAGCAGCTGTCAGGCCGGTGGGGAGCCAGCGAATTCTGTGGCTTGGCAAAACCCTACTTTCTGGGACGACCTGGATTTGATTGTTTTCAATTTAAGAAAACTGTTCCTGGAAGTCGGGGGAGGGGGCAGGCCAGATCTGGCCCGAGTTTGGGGTGAGGCCACTGAACCATGAGTCTTGGGGCAGCCAGGCCGGGCCAGGGAGCCCAGTGCAGCCCCGTGAGGCATGAGACCATGGGGCCCCAAGGCCGTCCTCCCCAGCCAGCACGCTCTCTCTTCCATGTGTTGACATCTGCCCCCAACCCAGTGGGTTGGTCCCAGCCCCCAGCTCCCCAGTGGAGCCCCCCAAATCAGGGGGGAGCAGGCACAGGGTGTCTGGGGCCTGTGGTGCTGGAGCCTGAGCCCTGTCTGGAGGGGGGTCCCCACACTGTCCCACCATCCTGTCCCCTGACCCCACGAATCCAAGTTGGTGCCTCCCTGGGCAGAGCAGGTGGGGGCCAGGAGCAGGGGGTCCTGCCGCACCCCTCACTCCACCAGCTCCTCCCTCTCTTTGGGGACACCCATGGTGGAGGAGCTGGCAGCTGAGACTCCTGGGAAGGTATAGGCCACCCTGCCCAGCACCCTGACTGCTGGTCCCAGCCTTGGCTGTAGGCAGGGAGAAGGATGTGACCACCTAGGGTGGGCTCAGGGAGACCAAAGCCAAGGATCGCCCTGGCCAGTGGTCAGCGCCACAGGGCAGAGGGCTAGGGCCACCCTTGGGGGCCTGGATGTGAGTCGGGCTGCCCGTGACGGCGGCTCCTGGTCACCTGCCCCACCCTGCTGGGCCCCTTGGGGAATGGCCCCTCCTGGGGACCGGTGCCCACCTCGCATCTGGAGCCCCAGAGAGGGCTGCTTTACCGTTCTTCGTGTGACAGAAGAACATCTGACAGTCATCAGTCGTGGTAACAGCTGTTTTTCTTGACCTGTCCTTTAGTTCTACAACAATTATCATTGATTAATTTAATTCATTTAAAAAGAAGACTTTGCTTTCATATTCAAAGATATGAAATACGTTTCGTGTATGAACCAAGATTTAAGCTTAACAAAAACATCACAGCCTGCAGCTCACCCTGTGGCATTGTTTTGAGTTGTGAACAAAGGGGCCGCCCCAGGTCCGAGTCACTCGCGGTGTCCCGGCGCGGCGTGCCAGAGCTGTCCTCCTGAGGGGGTCGGCGTGCGTGTCAGGCCGTCCGGGGCCCTGGGGCCCCGGGGTTCAAGGCCTCGTCCTCTGTGGAGATGCAGTGCTGGCTGTGGCTTCCACACACAGGACGGAGACTCACCTGCGAGCGCCGACTGGGACGTGGATGATGACAGACTGTGTCTTGGGGGAGGGTGTTGATTTTACCCCTGACGTTGTTTGGAATCACTGGTGCGCGGGATAAAAAGCAAACTGGGTTCTTCTTTTTTGTGAATTGAAGTGAAATTCACATAACGTGAAGGGAACCATTTAAAGTGAACAGTTCAGCGGCGTTTGGCACGTTCACTGTGCTGTGCAGTCCCCACCTCTGTCCAGCTCCAGAACGTTGTCATCCCACAAAGGACCCTGGTGTCCACAAGGAGTCACCCGATCCCCCTGCCCCGCCCCTGGCAAGCGCTAATCTGCTTTCTATCCCCGTGGGTTTGTCTGTTGTGGACATTTCGTAGACACGGAATTGGTTCATACACGGAATTGTCCACATGTGGCCCTCTGTGTCTGGTTTCGTGTGGCAGAAGATCCTCAAGGTTCACCCTGGTTGTAACCTGCGCCAGCATCTCCTTCCCCTCAGAGGCTGCATGATGTTCTGTCGTGTGGATGGATCGCTTTTTTTATGTTCTTCCACAACGGGCATGTGGGCTGGCTGTGCCTTTGGCAGCTGTGAATGCTGTATGCAGGTGTGTTTGAGTCCTTGCTTTCGCCTCCTTTGGGGACACGTGTAGGAATGGTAACTGTTTGGTTTAATTATTTGAAGAACGGCCAGACTGCTACCCAGTGGACCCAATTTTAGTGTATTTTTGCTGTATTTAAGTCTCCGTAAGCAGGGCACCCCCGATTGCCTCCCCTGCCCATTGGGCCGCTCCCTCTGCCCGCCCCACCCTCGACACACCACTGCCCATCCTTCCTCTGCAGAGTTTACTAGAAGTGGGTGTGACTCACCCACGTCTGCGATGCTCACAGGTGGTCCTGGTGGGGGCTCCGTGGGGTGCTGCCTCCCCGCTGCTCTGGGCTCCCGCGTGGCCCACGGCCTCCTTTGGCCACTGTCACCTGGAAGGCAGCTGTGGGAGCTCTGAGCACCTGGCCTTGGGCTCTCGGTACTTCTGTTCTGTGTCTTAGTTTTTACCGATTTGCAAAAGTTGAAGGTTTTGAAGTCCGTTGCCGGCTAGGACCCAGAACAACACGATGGCCAGAGTTGGCTCCTGGTTCCCGAGGCAGCCCTGAGCCTCGATCAGCACACGGGCCACAGTGTGGCCCCCGAGGGCAAGAGGCTACACCCTTTGCTTTGCACTGCTTTTGGAGGTGAGTTCACACCTCAGGGTCTTGATGGGTCATGCTGGCAATCCTGGTGCCCTCTGAATCCGCCATTCCCCGCCACCCCGCCTCGCGGTAGGTAGCTGGGGTCCTTCCCAGGTTGTCCCTGGCTTCTTTGTACCTGCAGATAACACCGTAAACTCCTATCTTGTTCTATTAGTTCTAGCAGAATTGCTTCTCTTTTCTCTGGTCTTCGCCTCTCCCTCCCTCCCGTGCTCCTTTCTGATAGCTACTTTTACCTTTCTCTTTCTTTCTTTCTTTCTTCTTTTTTATAGAACAGTATTTCTGTCTGGCCTTCTGGGGTTTGACTGTTGGTTGACTCTCAAAAGTGAAAAGTCATTAAGAGGGTTTCCGTAACTGTCAGCATAGAGATGTCATTCAGTGCTGGGCCGGGTAGTGTGCCAGGATTCCCGGGCCTGGTGGGTGGCGCTGGAGTCAGGTGACCCATTTGAAAAAAGCTGTGCCCACCCACCCACTTGGCAGTTCAGCTCTGAGACCTGGCTTTTAAGGAGTTGGGAAAATCGGGGGTTTCAAAGTCCGTCGAGTTGACTCTCTTTTCCGACACATTCCATTTGCATCCATGACTTGCTTGAAGAGTCCTTTGATTTTCCTGGAGTTCCCAGTTGCCTTCCTTTTTCCATTGCACTGTTTACTGTAAACTCGTCACATGTACATATGGGCGGGCCGCACATTCTGCCAAGGCCCCCGTTTGTCGCGATAACCTCCTTCCCAGAGCCCTCTGTCCTGCTCCAGACTGCCGTCTTTCTGGTCTGTGGCCTCCCTTTGTCAGGTGCTGTTTCCTGTTGTTCTCGGTGTTCTCAGTTTAGCAGTGGCGTGCCTCTGTGTGGTTTTCTGTGTTTCTGTCCTCCTTTTGGGGCAGTGGGCCCATGGATCCATGGGCTGATGCGTCTAGTGTGTTGCAGGCAGTGCATGAGTATTATCTCTTGCATCTTCAGCCCTGTCCCCTCTTCCTTGTCCCCTCTCCCCTCCTCCTCTGGGACTCCAGTCACCAGCGTGTCCCACTGCTGGGTGCTGCGCCCAGGTCTCCGACGTGCCGTTCGGCTCGTCTGTCTCTTCATCGCTCTGCTTCCCTTGACCTGTCTTCGATTTCACTGGTCCTCTCTTCTGTCGTGTCTAGTCTGTGTCTGTTGGCTGAGGCTCCTCTAGAGGGAGGTCGCGTCTCCCCTTCCCTGTGCTTGGGCTTCTCTTCTACGTGCCAGACACGATTTACACAGAGGAGCCATTCGGACCGCAGCGGGGAAGGGTTCCCCAGAAGGGACTCGCCTTTCCCTCTGTCAGGCACTTAGGGCGGGCTGGCCAGTCTGACCCACACGGGACTTCCACTCGGTTAGGCCTGAGGTGGCCACTCAGCCAGTTTCTGTTCAGCCCCAGCCAAGTGTCTTGGGGGTGTAAGCCCCACAGCGAGGGGTGTGCGTACCTTTTTGTTTTTGTTGTTTTGAATGCCTGTCGCTGGACAGGCTCAGCGAGTCCCTGCTGAGTGTATGAATGAATGGATGAGGCAGGGCCCCAGGATGT